ATAACGTTCATCAGGCAGTAATACAGTACGTTCAGTTCACGTTCGCCCAAAATATGAACGTTCAGGCACAACACTGAGTATCGGTTCCCAAAAAGCTGAACGCCAAGGAACCGGCCCACTTTAAACCAGTCACCTTGACCTCCCACCTGATGAAGACCATTGAACGTCTCATCCTAGCTCACATGCGCACCGTGGTGAGTTCCACCCTCAACCTGCAGTAGTTTGTTTACCGACCTGACATCAGAGTGCAGGATGCTTTCTTCCTGCTGCAGCGGGCACTAACCCACCTGGAGACCACTGCGCAGTGAGAGGCATGTTCTTTGACTTCCAGCACTTTCAATACCATCAGACAAGAGCTGCTGAGGGGGAGGATGGAGGACGCCGGAACGGGCAGACATCTTGCTTTCTGGACCATCAACTACCTCAGTACGTGTACCTCAGTAAGTCAGTGGTGGCAGTCTGCAGTTCCGGAGACCCCCTGGGCATCGTTCTGTCTCCATTCCTCTTCACCGTTTTTCACCTTGGACTTCACCTACATCATGTTTTTCCCCCCACACTGTTTACATTTGATCACTGCTGCACATTATGGAATAGAAATGTTCTGTGATTTTGTATTCTCTCTGTATACAAAATGACAAGAAAAGTTGTCTAAGTCTAATCCTTTGCAGATCCGTAATAATTTTGAGATATCAAACTGTCTGCTTTGAAAACTGGGTCCTCTGTTCTGAGCCTTGATAGTCCTGGTGAAGAGAAAAGGCAAAACTCTGAATTTACTGGTCAGTCCACAATCTCATCCTCAACTATGGTCATGAAATCAGAAACATGGCAGAAAAAATTAGGCCAAAATGAGCACATGTTCGCTTGGCTCTCCCCTAGAGATAGGATGAAGAGCCATTTGGGAGAGGTTTCAGAGTAGAGCCGCTTCTTTTCCACATCGAGAGGAGTCAGCAGAGCTGGCTAGGACACCTTTATCGGATGCCCCCTGGATGCCTCCCTCAGAATGTGTTCTAGGTACGTTCCACCAGGAGGAGGAGCAGGGAACGACTCAGGACACGCTGAAGGGACTGTGTCTCTCAGCTGGCCTGGGAGTGCTTCAGCTTCTCCCAGCAGAGCAGGAGGTGGAGTCTGTGGAGAGGGAAGTCTGGGAGTCTCTCTGCTAAGACTGCTGCCCGCCGACCTGGTTTCAAATAAAGCGGAAGATCACAATGACTCAGTTTTTTCATTACGTCTTTACATCTGATAAGGGAAGACGATTTAAAGGAATAGTGCACCCAAAACATGATTAGCCTTCATTTTCTACTCACCCCCATGCTGAACAACACTCTG